TAAATGGAAACACCCTTTTCTATAGGAGATAGACGAAAACTAATATCGGTGTCTGGGGCTCAATTTTTGTCAAAAACATGATGGTGAAAACCGCGTATCGATATCTGTTACCGTTTCGGAGTTACGGAGTGTTTTTCAAAAATATGCATTTTTAACAATTTGCTGTAACTTTTTTGCTATGGAAAATTTTGTATTTTTATGAAAACATTTCCAAGGCACCTTTTTACGTAGAATTTAATGGTTTAAGTATAATTTTTTTAAAATTAATAATTTAAGAATTATCAAGAGAAAATTTGATTTTTTATATGGGACACCCTGTATATTTTTAATTTATTGAAAAGAATTTAAAATTACCTTTCCAAAAATATAACACACTTGATATTTTGCTCGATTCGTCTTCGAGATATAGAGTATATAAAAATTCGCCCGCTTTAAATAAGTAGGCTTTGAACGGCACCGGCTGTAATGCAAAAAAATTCTAGCTGTGAGCATCAACTAAAACGAAAATAATATTTGCTATGAGTGATGCCGAATTTTATAACAATTTAAAATATATTTAACCAACATCAACACATTTAAACTATATCTAATAACAATAAAAATAAACCAAGATATGAGATTTTGCTACAGGTGTTTGCTACGACATATCAACCGTCTTCTGTTATGGACAGACGGGGCAGTTTTTGAACATTTTTCGCGGAATTTATTAACTCAGTAGGGGTGAAATACCCCCTCTCATAACTGCTAAGTATTTCTAATTCTTGTCTAGATTATACGGAAGAATAAGGAACCTTTATTTTTCCGCAAAATATCCATAGGATTAGATCCATGGGCACTAAGACAGGCGGCCTCGACGGCCAACGGCTGGGATCTTGGTTAGCTATTCAATTATTCTTGAACTTGGCTGCAAAAATTTGCTGATAACTTCAGTGTTCAGAGGCGGTGCGTGGTCTTACTGGAAAAATATGTTTTTCAGATCATCAATAAGGGATCCAAAGCCTACTAGTTAAAAGTGGCAAACTTTTAAAAATTCTATATTTCGAAGGGGGTTATAACAAAATATCAAGTGTGCTATATTGTTGGAAAGGTAATTTTAAATTCTTTTCAGTTAATTAAAAATATAGAGGGTGTTCCAAATAAAACATCAATTTTTCTGTTGATAACTCTTAAATTATTAATTTTAAAAAAAATTATACTTAAACCATTAAATTCTACGTAAAAAGGTGCTTTGGAAATGTTTTCATAAAAATACAAAATTTTCCATAGCAAAAAAGTTACAGCAATTTGTTAAAAATGTACATTTTTGAAAAACACCCCGTAACTCCGAAACGGTAACAGATATTGATGTGCGGAACTCGAAAACATATTTTTCCAGCAAGACGACGCACCGCCTCTGAACGCTGAAGTTATTAGCAAATTTTTGCAGCCAATTTCAAGAATAATTGGATAGCTAACCAAGATGCCAGCCGTTGGCCGTCGAGGCCGCCTAACTTAGAGCCCATGGATCTAATCCTATGGATATATTTGCGAATAAAGGTTCCTTATTCTTCCGTATAATCTAGACAAGAATTAAAAATACTTAGCAGTTATGAAAGGGTCTCTTTCACCCCCACTGAGTTAATGAATTCCGCGAGGAATGTTCAAAAACTGCCTCGTCTGTCCATAACAGATAGGGTCGATAACATAAGGTCGATATGCCGAACACCTGTAGCAAAATCTTATGTCTAGGTTTGCTATTTATTTTTATTGTTATTAGATATAGTTTAAATGTGTTGGTGTTGGTTAAATATATTTTAAATTGTTATAAAATTCGGCATCACACATAGCAAATATTATTTTCGTTTTAGTTGATGCTCACAGCTAGAATTTTTTTGCATTACAGCCGGTGCCGTTCAAAGCCTACTTATTTAAAGCGGGCGAATTTTTATATACTCTATATATCTCGAAGAGGAATCGAGCAAAATATCAAGTGTGTTATATTTTTGGAAAGGTAATTTTAAATTCTTTTCAATAAATTAAAAATATACAGGGTGTCCCATATAAAAAATCAAATTTTCTGTTGAAAATTCTTAAATTATTAATTTTAAAAAAATTATACTTAAACCATTAAATTCTACGTAAAAAGGTGCTTTGGAAATGTTTTAATAAAAATACAAAATTTTCCATAGCAAAAAAGTTACAATGATTTGTTAAAAATGCATATTTTTGAAAAACACCCCGTAACTCCGAAACGGTAACAGATATGGATATGCGGTTTTCACCATCATATTTTTGACAAAAATTGAGCTCCAGACACCGATATTAGATTTTGTCTATCTCCTATAGAAAAAGGTGTTTCCATTTAAAAGCGTCGAATTTGACCCGCCCTGTATAATTGTACATGCCGCATTTAGCGCGCCTGACAAGCGTTGGACGAGTCTGGCAAGATTTTCGGAATGTTCCACATGAGCCAGGCTATATTTTGCACCTGTAATTATCATATAAACTATCATCTGACAAATGTTTAGGATTGCGAAAATAAGGGCGATGGTTTAAATAATTTTTATCCAATTTTTCACCTGCCGGACATATTACCCATTCTCACAGATTAGCCAGCCTTTTTTTTAACTGCACATCTCTCACTAATAGAATTATTTTTATCGCTGGAAAAAAGTGCAGTATATTTGTACTTTTTAACGCATTTTCCGCCCCAACTCATCGGAAAACCTCTCTTACAATATATATGAAATTTGCTTAAAATAAGATACCGAAAAATTCTATCGGTGTTTGCTGACTGGGAAAATAAGTACCGAAAATCTTTATTGCCTCCTGGACTATTCACAAAAGAAAAACACATTTCGCAAATGTAAAAATCTTAATAAAATATCTATACCTATGTGGCGGATTCATCTTTCCAAAAAAAAATCCTGTATGGGTATTTCGTCACTGCACTGCAAGAAAATCTACAAAATAAAATAATTATTTTTTGTAAACACTTCTGCGTTAAACCTAAACACTGCTTGTCAGAAGTTATGTTTACGGTAATACAAATTTGCCTAACAAAGCAAAAAAAAAATGCTTAACGTTTCGGAAAGTTATCTCTTTCCGTCGTCGGAAGCAAAAAAAATACAAAGAATAAAGAAAAAAACTATTTAAAATATTTAAATTCAACTATTCGAGAACACTTTACTTTTTTAAAACAGATACGTCTACAAGAAACCGTTGACGTTCTGTTAAAAGGACATTTTTAACTTGATACTTAAACTTCAAAATTAACAATTACTACTTGATAACAATTACTTAATAAGGTAAAACCAAAAAGCCCCAAACTTTCTGTATGATTATTTTTAAATTTTACGTATGTTATGTTTATTTATCTTGTATCTATTGTTCTTTAAAATCAAAGAAGCGATTGCCATACATTACTAACATCTACAGATGCATGAGCAATACATTTATTTTTATTAGATTGAATTAAAAAAGCCTCTTTTATTTTTCTTTTAGAGGCTATCGCTTCTTTCATTATAGTTTTGGCGTTATTAACATTTTTTCTGTGCCCTGTGTCCCAAGAATGCTGACAAATCTTAGATTTGTGAAAATCTCCCTTTCTTAAATAATCTTTATGTTCTTTAATTCTAACATTTAAGGGTCCAGATGTTTCACCAATGTAAAATTTATCGCATTCACAGGGTATTTGGTATATTAGATTTTTTGTTTGTTGTTCTGTATTGATTGGTTTAGTATGTGATAAAATGGATCTAATTGTATTTTGTGTTTTGAAAGATGTTCGTATGTTATATTGTTTTCCTATCGTTCTTATTTTTTCCGAAACGCCTCGTATGTATGGAATTGTAAGTTGTATATATTGTGTATTGTTATCATTGTGTCTATGATTTGGGGTTTGTATTTCGTTTAATGTTTTGTCAATAAAATGTGGTGGATAGTCGTTTTTAGTGTTTACAAAAAATAATTATTTTATTTTGTAGATTTTCTTGCAGTGCAGTGGCGAAATACCCATACAGGATTTTTTTTTTAAATCTTAGTTTGGAATACGTAAAAAATTTAACCCAAAAATATTTTTGCTACATACCTATTAAAAAAATAATTTTTATGCACGTTTTCCAGGTTAAACTATCGTCAGTAAATGATTACATTCAACGGGATATAATAATTATATTCTGATAATAAATTACTAGCACCTATTGGTTACAACGGTTAGTAAAATTTTAAATCCATTTATTTATTGCTTATTTTTTGTAATCGTGGTAATCCTTCTAAAGGTGTAAATAGTTTAGTTGGACCGTGAGGTACAAAAAGGAACCACCCGCGAAAGGGTTTAATATGTTTTGTCCATAAAATCCAGTATATTACTCCATATAGTATGCAAAAAAATAATTGCAAACAAATTAAAAGTTAAAATAAAAGGAAATTATTATCATTTTTTTAAATTATTTTTTATGTATATTATTATTACATTTGTTTGTCCTTTATTCATAATTAACATTTGGCGGGCGGTTCTTTCTATATCTCGGTCCATTTGTTGGGTAAAACAATAATCGGATTTTAATGAAAAACAAATAGGTATGATTTAATTGTTGAAAAAATATGTACCTTAATAATAAATATAATACTAAATACATTTGAGATTTTATAATTTTATCTACTGAATGATGGCTGTTGAATGCATCTTATGCATCTTTTGGTTACTGAAGATTAATTTTGATAACCCATTCTTTACCATTGTGCATTCCAGAAGCATTTTATACAAAGAAGTAAATTTTTGCAATCAGATTTTTAAAAATGAAAAGAAAAACAAACCCTTACAAAATAAATAGAATTTTGAGATATTATAATTTTATCTACTCATTGATGCTGTTGAATGCATCTTATGCATCTTTTGGTTACTGAAGATTAATTTTAGTAACCCATTCTTTATCTTTGTGCACTCCAAAAGCGTTTTATACAAAGAAGTAAATCTTTGCAATCAGATTTTTACAAATGAAAAAAAAACGAACCCTTACCTTGCGAGATGCAGTACATTATTTGCCGGGGTACTTTGAGGCCGGCGGCCAGGCAAGCAGCGAACGATGCCGAGAAGTTGATGGCCATATTTTCGGTCTTCCTCAAAAAATACAATAAATCTGCGTTTTCTTATTTTCGATTCGAGGAAGTCCGTTCGTCCGTCCGGTCCGCTCGTCTTCTTAACCGTTTTCTTTTGCGTACGCGTCGTTTCGGGTGTATTTTTTTTTCGAATAATTTTACGTGTTTAAAGGGTGTCACAAGTCACAGAATCACTAGTCACATAATGGATCACACTACTACTGGTCACCGGGTGGCAGAGTGTAGCGCGCGAAGACTGAGCCGCGTCGAGCGGCGCGATGCACCGCGACAAGTTGCATACGATTTCGCCCAAAAGACCGATCCACTGACGGCGGTGGCGGTGGCGGCGGGCGCCGGGCGAGGGGGCGGGGGAAGAGCGCTAGGGGGGCGGGATGGATGGGGGGCCGCGGGGGGCGACGGCGTTGCCGCTCTTTTGGTAATTGCAACGGCGGGCGAGAGAGAAGAGGTGCGAGAGAGAGAGGTAGGAGGTTTTGGCGATGGATGGATCGTGGCCGCCGCCGCCGCCGCCGAGGCTCCTGCATGCAGCCGGCAGCAGCAGCAGGAGCGACGGCGGGAATTCGGAGTAGAGATGGGCGAAGGACCGTCCGTCGTGTTCGGAAGGCGTCGATATTTTAGAAAAAGTCGATGTTAAATTAGGCTGTGGTAATATAATGCATTTATATTACTCATAATATATCAACTTTTAACCGTTACCATGCGGAAAAGGAACATATCAGTCTTTCATATCGCTATTCTAATTTTTATGTATAAGACAGTATAAACAAAATCAACTCTTTTTATCGTGAGAATTTATTCATAAATAATTTAAAATAAAATTACTGAAATACATATAAATTATCGTAACAAATACACTACTCAAAACAATTATTATCGCATATTATTTGAATAAAAGTAATTATTACATATTTCTAAATGAAGCATGCATTTTTCTGCATTTCTCTTGTGAGTTTTTTTAGGATAATTAGGGTACGCACTGACATGTAATTTTTTGTCAGCCGACTATTTAGTTGCAAAAGTGAAAACAATACATTTGGTAGGTTAGGTAGTAGAAACTTAGTTTTTAATCATCTGCTGATGATGCTAGCATGGTTAGCGAACCGCGCGTCTAGTGTAAAAGTAAAAGTGTTTTGGTGTATTGTGGTGAGTCAGTGTTTTATTTTGCTATAAGAAGAACAAAAAAATAATAAAAATAATTTAAATGAAGCAAATTTTATGTCAAGAAGGACTGATTCGGGACCAGAACTTACTAGATCTGTTGACTAGGACCAAAAGCAAAGGCATGGTCTTAATGTAAAAATTACGAAAAAATGTTCTCTTCAAAAGCGAATATCTCCAACAAAAATAAGGCTAACGAGATGAACCAAAAAACAAACTATCGAGAAAGGATGTATCTAGATGATAAAATGATTTTTAAATTACTTGCTGTGTTAACATATTCCACAGGGTGCTTCAAACTTATACTAAAAGAAATGATGGGGAAAAACAGATGGGGAGTTTTATTTTTAATTTAGAAAGAGTCTAGAAAATCAATTTATATATAGGATGTTCCATTACAAAAAACACAACTTTGATGTGTAATTTTTTTGGGGACACCCTGTAGAACTCTATATAACTTTAGAAAATACTTTAAATTGACTTACATAAGCTTCCAAAATTTCACTTCAATATAAACCTTTGTTCTCCTTGCAAAAACCGCGTCGTATATGACGCGCCATCCTGTATAATTCGATTCAATTAAAATTTCAATGATTAGAATATAAGCAGAATAGGTATAGCTTATGCATTCGATTCATCTATTTCAATAAATTTAATTAGAAAAAAAAATAAAAAAAATCAAAAAGTTAAGAAGGAAATAACTAAGAATTTACTAAAATAAAAAAATTAAACGCAATGAAAAAAAATGGGCAAATATAAAATTATCCATAAAACACAATACAGAAGGTTTCACATTAATGAACTCACAGTAATTGAATTCCGAGGTAAAAGTCTCTGGGCACTCCACTAAAATATGACGATAATTATTAGGACAGTGAAGGTAAAATGGGTGAGTTATCATATATATTTTTTTGTTCTCCATATTTTAGGATATATTTTAAGCTACACGGAAAAAAAGCTAAACTGGCTTAAAGAATATTAATCTTGAACCAACGATATGCTAGTTTCCCCATTCCGCAAATCTAGTTATACTTCTTTTCAAGAAAACCTTATCCTTAGAAGCTAAGAAAATTTATCTTTTATCTAAGATTTACCACCTAGTATTGAAATTAAGATTATAACTACACTCCAGACAATTCGAGATAAAATCTTGTTTCGAGTACTACTTATACTTATTTGTAAATTAGCAAATTATTGCATTAAGTATAGTAATTCTTTGTGTAATAATTACTTTATTCAAGTCTAATATCACCTACTATAAAATAAAGCCTCTTCTTACTTTTAGGTTAGTTACTAGACGCGCCGACAAGGTAGTTTATAAAATTATGAAGTTTTCTTGTTATCGTTTGTGCTTGTGATATGTGAAAATGAAGGACCTTCTTCAGGCATGGGAGATGACGACTTGATCCCAAAATTTCAAGGTAAGTTTAGCAATAATCCTACATTATTTGATGACATTGGTTGGAGGTTAGGGGGACTCCATTTTAATATGCATTATTCCTTATACATTGGTGGTAATATATTATATAAAGTACCCGGCGCGTCTCGTGTCGCAGAGGAGAAACAGAAACCAAATGAAGATAGGAATCAGGAATGCACTGTTGCGTTGTTGCTGTTGGGGATGGTCACTTAATATAAAAATAGTAACTCTTGGAAATGGGGTGTTATTCTCGCGCCGAGAATAATATACTTATTTAAAGTCTTAATACACCGATTTCAAGTAAAAGTTTTGAAAAAGTTAAGAATACTACTTATTATTATATAAAAGCATTTATACTTAGCAAGTGTAAAAGTAAAATAGTTCCAAATATTTGTTGTACTCATGGAAAGAATACTATCCTTAAAGAAAGTGTAAAATTTTAAGTGTATGATTGTTCTTGAATATAGAAATGATTTTTTTCCGTGTATACAAGCAATAGTACCAGAATATGTCAGTAATGACTTTTGTTCATCTCAACTAACCAAGAAAAACAAAAAAAGAAAGAAAATACTAAATCTTCATTAAAATCAAACGACAACCCATTACACCAACTGAAAAAAAAACGTAAAATCTCATCACCAATAAACATATCAACGCAGATAAAGCTACCTAATTCCCCGACTCTAATAAACATATTTTATTTGACAGTTTTGACGTTCTCACCGCATCACATCGGGCCCTTTCTAAAAACCATTTAAAAGAAACAATGTTGTACCGCGGCTCGGTCGTACTACAAGCAGGTACACGACCTCTACCATGTCGAAATCTGGAATTACATTAGGACGGCCCTGTTTTGGGTTTTCTCTTGTGTGTCCTTCGGTTGAAATCTGTCGATGACGCGTCGGTAGTTCTCTTGGAAAAACAATCCACAACAATGGGTTTATTAGCTGTCAATTCTTGCAGCGTAGAATTGAATATTAATTTAATAGCACGCAGAAAAGTGTTGTATCAAGAAATATTATTTGCATTATGGAACAATTAAATATTAGGGATAAAATTGAAATTATTCGTTTAGTGGGTGATAACTATCTTCAAGCAGGAGAAGCTGCCAGAGAATTTAACAACAGACATCCCGACAGACCTGCAGTAAGTAGAAGCACGGTTCAACGAATAAATAGAGTTTTTAATGAAACTGGTTGTGTGTCAAAATACTTACTAAAAAACAGAAGGCCGGAACATCGAATAAATAGGCGGAATGAGGAAATATTAGAATATTTTCGTAACAATCCTCGTGCAAGCATTAGAGGCGCCAGTGTTGATTTGGATATACCAAGGGAAAATATTAGGAGATGTTTGCGAACTAATAAAGTTAAACCCTTTAAACCAAAGATTTTACACACTTTGGAAAACGGAGATGATGTTAGACGATTAGAATTCTGCTTATGGGCTCAAGCAGAGTATTTAAATAATAGAAATTTCTTAAAAGAAATTTTATTTAGTGATGAGGCAACATTTAGTACAAACGGAGTAGTATCCTCTCAAAATTCGCGATTCTGGGCAGTCGAAAACCCTGAATGGGTGATCAATACAAGAAGACAGTATTCTCAGAAATTAAATGTGTGGTGTGGCATACTTGATGATAGAATCATTGGTCCATATTTTTTTGAGAGAAATTTGAATAGTCCAACGTTTTTGAATTTTCTGATTAATGACTTTTGGGATGCAATACATAATTTACCATGCCAAACCCGTTTGAATTTAAAATTTCAATTGGACGGATCACCTGTGCATAACGCGGCAGTTGTCAGGGAATGGTTAAATGAAAATTTTGAAAATAAGTGGATAGGTCGAAATAGCCCGCTAATTGAGTGGCCACCGAGATCCCCGGACCTAACACCCCTTGATTTCTTTCTTTGGGGTTTCTTAAAGCAACAAGTTTACAAGTCTAGACCTCAATCTGTAGATGAATTACGTATTAGAATTACAGAGGCTTCTGCAAATATTACACCACAGCAGCTTAGGAATGTAACTGTTAATCTAAGAAAAAGATGCGACAAATGTATTGAACTGAATGGAGGGCTGGTAGAAGCAACTAGAATTATTTGAATATGTTTAACTTATTATTCGGTTATTGTGTTGCTTGTAGTATTTTTTTATCATTGTTTGTAATAAAACTCGTTGTCGTGGATTGTTTTTTCAAGGGTTACGTGATAACTCATCGTTAAATTGGCAAAAATAGGGAATTATTTAATTTAACTGCAGAATTATTAATAATTAATATTTTTAAACGAAATTTGGTACAGAACTGTTTTGGGGGATGCCGAATGTAGGGGTGTACTCAAATTTTTTGAAAAAATCGCTAATATGATTTTTGTCAAATTTTTCACCACAAAAACTTTATTAAGTAGGCCTTGTTTTTTGTGAAATAACATGACATTGAGCCCTAAAGTACATTTTTTGAAACTTTATATTTGAAAAAAAAAATCATCAAAATCGGACTATAAACACAGATTTTATGGAGGGTGCCCGGTCTTGAGTGGGTCACACTGTATGTATATTAGTGTTATACGACGTTCGTATTTATGCGAATGGGAGCGGGCTTCTAGCCTCAAATTCAGAGACTAGACGTGGGGATGTGAACCTACGTATGTATGGCGCAGGTAATAGAACGAATAGCTCGTAGCTCGTACGTATGTTATCCGTTGG